TTATGACGGTTCTCAATATGCGGCAAGTGGATAGGCACGAGAAGTAACTTGGTATTCCGACTATTGCAAGGAGATCGAAAAAAGCAGTGTTTAAAGCTCTCTTGGATCGAATATGGAAAAAGCTCTAAGGATGAAAGAAATTTTTTATCACGGGCCGGGAAGGAAATCCTCCTTAAATCTGTTATTCAAGTTATTCCCACGTATTTAATGGGGGTATAGAATTTTCCGGCTTCCGTCATCCAAAGTATCCAGTTGGCCATAGCTAGATTTTGGTGGGGCTAGAAAAACAACTGGAGAAAGGTGCATTGGAAGAGTTGGGAGCATATGTGCGTTCCTAAGTGTTTGGGGGTGGGGGATGGACTTCAAAGACCTTGATGTTTCTAATACTTCACTGCTGGGGTGCCAAGCTTGGTGTCGAATTCGTTTCCCAATTCACTTTTGGGAAGGGTCTTCACAGCCGAGTATTTTCCCAATTGCTCTTTCCTTGAGTCATCTTTGGCTTAAGATTGCAGTTTCTCATGGAGAAGTGTGTGGAAAGCAAAGGGGCTTGTCACTGAGGATACTCTTTGGCGTGTTTAAAATGGCTCACAAATTAGAATCTGGCACGATCCCTGGTTGCGGATGGGCAGGGACGTTTTATAATGAGTAATGAGTGTGATAGGGTCAATGTGGTAAAAGATTGGATTGATTTTGATAGAATGGAGTGGCGCTATGGCTTAATTGATGATATTTTTTGTGAGAGGGATAGAGCTTGCACCCTTGCTATCCCTCTTAATAGTTTTGCTCATCCAGATGAATTGGCATTGGCTTTTTCAAAAACGAGAGAGTACATTGTTAAGACTGCCTACATGATTGGACAAAGGTGCGATTTTGACTCTTTTCATCATGCGTTTGTGGATATCTAGAAGCTAGATGTGAGGCCTAAAGCTAGACATTTCCTATGGAGATTGTGCACCAACACTCTACCGGTTTGAGACCTTCTTTTCAACTGTCATATGATTGATGCAGCAAATTGCCCCTTGTAATGCTGAGATTGAAAATGCAGGCCACATAATTTTTGACTGCCACGGGTGTATGATTTGTGGGTGGAATGTGGATGCACGAGCATGACAAATTGGGGTGGCTTTGACTCCATGTACAATTTCATTGCGAGCTGGAGCTAGAACAAAGCAAGCACGTGCGTTTCTTGCTTGGAGCATTTGGGGTGAGAGGAACCGAAAGGTTTTTGTGAATAAATGCACCCCCAACTTTGTTATTTTGAGCATAGTTTCAAGGTACGTAGAGGAGCAAGGCAAGTACGCCAACTGCATCTACAAAGGGCCACATGTGACTGTGAAGAACAGCCCAAAAACCTGGAAACCCCCACCTAGTGAATTTGCTAAAATAAATGCTGATACGTATGTTACAGAAGATGGGTGGGTTGGACTTGGGATAATTGCTCGTGACCACAAGGGAGATATCCTATTTGCTGCCACTAGAAGGATGCGGGCTTACTAGAGTGTTGAAGTGGCTAAGGCGAAAGCAATTGCTCTTGCTGCTAAACTGGGAAGAAGCTTTGGTCTTGTGAATGTGATCCTGGAAACTGACTCCTTGATGATTACAAACCGGCTGGAACGAGGAGCTATTTTTCTGTCAGAGCTTGATACTGACTTAGGAGAAATCCTTTCTTCTTGTTGCTATTTTAATATGATTAGATGGTCTCATGTAATAAGGGATGACAATTTTGTTTCACATTGTCTAGCTAGGCTAATTCCTTTGGGAATCGAATAAGTGTGAGAAAATTCTTGTCCCCCGAATGTAACTCCATATGTTCTTACAGATAAACTTACCTTAACATAAGCCTAGTCCGTTTGGTTTCAAAAGAAAAAAAAAGTTCTTCAAGAATTATACCTGTAAATAGGTCAATATAAGGTTGTTGATATAATTGAGAATCAAGGTTGAACAACTAGCTGGAGGCCCCTTTTTCCATTTCTATGAGAGGAGTTCGATTTTCATACCAAGCAAATGAGATCTCAATTTCAATGTAAATTAAATTTTGTGAGAAGTTGGGAAAATTAAATTTCATGATAAGGAACAGTTAATATAAGTACAATTTTGTGAGAAAGTGGAAAATTAAATTTCAATAGAAGTTTTTTTTAAAAGTATATAAAGGATCTGAGCAAATAAATAATGAAAAAAGTTAAAATTAAATTGGGAACCCTATTTATAGAAATATAAATTATTTAAAAGAAATATTTAATATAAGTACAATTTACATGCTAAGACATTACGGATTAATGATTTATTTCATAGTCTTGAATAAGTACATCATTTTAATTTTTTAAAAATTTATAAAAATAACCCCAAATAATTTCGCCTGATTGTTTGAATTAAATAATCCCAATCATGGATTAAATTTAAATATTTTAAACTTTGGGGGTCTTTTTCTTTAATGGGTCCTAATCGGTAACTTAACATGCTATAACAGGATAGGAGACGCGTGTCTCTACGTAATTGGTTGAAAAAAAAAATTAATAAACTGAAAAAATAGCCAACCCCTCACGACCACCTTCCCCACCCCCTCCGACATCAGCCCTCTTATCCCTTCTCACCCTCCAGCAACCCTCCTCCTCACCCCACAAACCACCGGAATCTTCCCCATCACCACGACCCACACACCAAAACCGCCCCCTCCCCGGAATCCACCCCGATTCTCACTGCCATCCCTTTTCTTTTCCCCTAACCCCAAAAACCACTCGTCTCCTTTACCCAGGTGTTGAACCATTGTTTTTTAGGTTGTCCGACATTAGGGAAGGGGCGAGGAGTGGTTTTTGGGGTAGGGGGAAAGGGAAGGGGTGGTTTAAGGGGATGTGGGAATCGTGGGTGGATTTAAAAGTGGGGGAGCAGTTTTGATGGGTGGGTTGTGATGAGGGGGGAGATTCCGGTGGTTTGCATCGGGGGGTAAAGACGGGGTTGTCGGAAGGGTGGGGAGGGTGGCCGTGGGGGATAACTAGTTTTTTTTTTTTCCAATCAATTACGTGGTGACACATGTTCTTTAAACAAGAAAAAAAATCACCACTTTTACAGGTTACCGGTCATTTGAAACCCTTAACCCTAAAATTTGAATTATTAAATAGGAAAAATTGCCTAAAATAATCCGACTTTTGTCACATCCATCATAAATAATCCCAGTTTTCGATTATTTTTTAATAATCTGACCTTTATACCCATTCTGCTCAACATGGACCCAACTATTGTACTCCTTTGGTCCTAGTTTACTTGCAGCATTTTGACTGGACACACTTATCTTTTATTATATACTTATAACCTATAAAAAATTTATATTAAGAAACTATACATTAAAATAGACCCAACAACATCTTTACATGATTACTTTGGCTTCCATATAATAGTTGAAAAAGATGGTCAAAGCGCATGTGTGAATAGTAAAAAAAAGTCAAAACCTTGCGAGTAATTTAAGATGGAGGAATTATAATAATTTACCAGACATGTGGCGGCGTGACCTGTGATTGGTAAAAATTAAAAAAAATCAAAAAGGAGTTTCTAATTTTTTTAAAGATAAAATAAAATATAATTTTTAAACAACCATCCCACTAGCTGCTCAAGCCATCGTGCCCGCCTCCTAAGTCCCCTGCTCCGAGGATCCGACCACCCATAACCCCATTTCTAGCACTGGTGCCGCACCTGACCACCCTTCCCTGAACCACCAATCCCGTCCCTTACCCAAGAATCCATAGTTTCGAAAAACCATCAGCCATAAAACTATCCTCCAACCCTCGAAAATGCCTTTTTCCGTCCTGATCCTAGCTCCTCGTCCCTTTTTAGGCCATATTCCCTTCCCCACACCTTGATTTCGGCCACTCCTTCCCTTCCTCATTTCCAGTCACCCCTCCCTTTTCCTCCTCGATTCCAACAACCACTGACCCAAGCACCAGCTCGCAACACCACCGAAATTGTCGCACTACTGCTGCTGCTCCTCCTTCCATTTGCAAACGCACCACCCATAAACATACTGCTGCTAGTTTTGGTGGGTTTTTGGGTAGGGAAGGTGGTTTCGGTGGATGGCTAGGTAGGAAAGGTGAATTGGTGGTGGGCCTGTCGGAGAGCATAACGTGGGTTTTTGTTTTTTTTTCAATAATTTTTTAGATTAATCTTTCTTGTTTGTTTTATTTTTTTTATTTTTGACCAATCACATAGTGACACGTGTGCAATACAATTCCATGTCACAAATGGTAACCTACTTAGCCGGTTTCAAGTCACTTTGGGACCATTGGGAGCGGATTGAGTATAAGGCCGGATAATTAGATATAATCAAAAGGTGTGATTATTTTGGACGGATGAGGTAAATGTCGGATTATTCCGGGCAATTTGTCCTATTTAATAACAATCTATATTTAGGATTATATTGAGTGAATGGGCAAAAGTTGAGATTATTTTTACAAAAATTTTATGTAAATTTTTTTACATTATTTACAAATTTTACTTTGACTCGCTTTTGTAATGAGTAGAAAGGTATTAAATATTCCATCCATCCTTTATTTTTTGCTCCACAGTGTAATGCTAACTAATTAAATTTTGGTTGGAAAATAGTGATGAGAGAGAAAAGTAGTGGGGTTGACTGTTGATGTGATGGTTGTGAAAGTAAAATGTGACCCATAAGTTCAAAATTATAATAGGACAAAATAAAGGAATAAACTAAAAAGAAATTAGAGTACAAAATAAGAGACCGAGAGAGTAGATAGGAAAAATTGAAAGATCCAGCCGTGTATGTTATTTTTTTATAGTTTAGTGATACTTTGTGATCAAAAGTTGGTAAAATATGACTAAAAAAATGCAATGGAACAAAAAATAAAGACCACGAAAGTACGCATTCACAAATCACAATACGAGTACCTTCTATGCCCTCAAATAAATTCTTCATGTCTTCCAACAATTTTCTCCCTATATAAGATTACGACAATTAATTATAATGTGCTTACTTTTGTATTTTTGTGTGGTAGGGACTATTGAATGTGAGTGCAGAAGGCAAGGTAGAGCTCTTAACAGATGAAGTAGAGGGCAGAAAATTAAAATTTGCTGATGGAGTTGATGTTGCTAAAGATGGGATGATTTATTTTTCAGAAGCATCCTATAAATATGGCCTGCCCGATTTTATATTTGATGTTTTTGAAGGAAAGCCTCATGGTAGCTTGTTGAGCTTTGATCCCATCACCAAAGAAACCAAAGTTCTAGTTCGAGATCTTTACTTTGCTAATGGGGTTCAAATCTCTGCTGATCAAAAGTCAGTCATCTTTTGTGAGATTATCATGTAAGCGTTGTGGTTCATCAAAAGTTTATTTCGTTCGTCTCACTAAAATTGCCCTATTTAATTTGTTGGAATGATTTTGTAAAGAGTATTTTGGGTCAATTGAGAGGATATTAATAGGATACAGGTAGTAGTGTACAATTTAGTAGTATGATATTAGTTGTCGTATGTTTAACTTTAACATATGTAACGTGAAACTAAGGTAAAATATAGGAGTTACAGATTAACTAATTTGATAAATGTAGATATCTTGTGTGTGAGGAAAATTATACATAAAAATAGTGTTTGAAGTTCGATTCACTCAATTGCACATTGCATTTTGTAATTACAGGAAAAGATGTAAGAAGTACATCCGGGAAGTGGAAAAGCAAGGAATATTGGAACATTTTGTTGATAATTTGCCTGGTATGCCTGATAATATTCGATACGATGACAAAGGCCACTACTGGGTTGCATTTTCTACTGTATTGATCTTTCTCCTTATGATATAAGACATGTTATCTACAATTGAATTTATGCATTGAGAAACATGATAAAAGACACACATCAATTAGATTTATTCAAATGAACAAATTAATTGGAAGCGAGCTCACCTTGTGAGCTCAAAGTCACAAGAAACCCCACCAACTACATTTGCTTGGGAATATATAATAGGGGGATTTCCTGACCTTAATCCCTAGTCTTCCCCTCTACTTTCAAGTTTAACCTGCGGAGTTCGGTTGACTTAACCTGTGAGAGATGTCATTCAATGGGTCCTTCGTCTTACATTTAAAAAAAAATATTAAAATAAGGAATACTTTCTGTTTTTATTTTCTTTGTTTTCCCAATTTATATACTTTATTTTTTACTATATATACTAAATTTTGTATGATATAATGTTGTAACAGTCACCGAAGCCATATTGGGATATAGCGTTGAGGTACCCTTTTATTAGAAAAGGATTGGCAATTATAACAAGATATATTGGTCGATCACACATGGAGAAAAATGGAGGATTGGGTGCATTTGATTTGGAAGGAAATCTTGTGGCTCACTATTATGATCCAAAATTAACAATGATCTCAGGTGGAAATAAAATTGGAAACTATTTGTATGTTGGCTCACTTCATGCTCCTCATATCTTACGTCTTAATTTAGCTGCACATGCTGCTAAATAAGATGTTAAAACTATACACCCCTGGAGATTTTGTTAGATTTATTTTAATGTGCATTTTGACAATGTTTTAATTATAATAATAAAAAGGAAAATTTGTAAATTACCACCCAAAAAGGGTCATAATTTGAAATTACCACCCATTAAAAATTTTATTTTAAATAACCACCCATTAAATTAAAACAATTTTCAGATTATCACCTTTTTATGTTTTCCAGTGGAATTTCCGATTGTGGGCCCCACCTTATTAACTTCCCTCCTTTTTTTCTTCTTCTTTTCTTCGACCTAACATTCTCACTGTTACATTAAACTCTAAAAACTTCATCTCTCCTCAATTCCTTCACTTAATTCTTCCAAAATCATCAATTTTTTCCCTCTTTCTTCCTTTAATTCTCTGTCAAATTCTCAACTTCCTATTTAGGATTGAATCAAAACCCTAACTCTACTTTTTTCTGCAAATTGAATGTTTTGGTTGTACTTTCATGTATAGTTGATTGCTCCATCTCGAAGTGTTCTCTAGACCAGAAGCATATAGTTGAAGCTCCTGTCAATTGCTAATGTCAATGGTGACTCCTCCATTTCTGCAAAACATAATCCAAAAACAAAAAAAAAAAAAGAAAAAGAACAAGCTTACAACTTCATACAAATATGAATCATTCAATTCTTTCAATCGGAAAACACCACACATAAGATACAATTATTCAACATAGTAAACAATCATTCAACAAATTTGGACAATATCAACTCCAATTAGCAGAATTCTAACAAAATCGCACAATTAATTGCAAACAGATAGCTTAATTGCAAAAAACCCCCAATTTAATTGACTCATGAACCCTAATTCCTAAATTGGCGAAAAAAACCCTAAATTATGAAGTAGTGGAATCATACCTTTGATGCAAATTGAGTGTACGATCTTCAGTAGATAACTTCTTCTCACAGTAGCAGTTGAAATTTGAGGAATTTTGAATGAAATTTGGGGCAAAATTTGTGACTTGAAGTTGTACAATTTTTAAACAACAGAAATCGAGAGGAGAGAGAGTCAAAATAGTGAAATTAGTCGTTTATAGCCGTTATGTGGGGCCCTCAAACGGAATTTCCACCGGAAATCCAAAAAAGGCGTGGTAATCTGAAAATTGTTCAAATTTAATGGGTGGTAATTTAGAATAAATTTTTTAATGGGTGGTAATATCAAAACAGGACCTCTTTTTGGGTGGTAATTTACAAATTTTCCTAATAAAAACTGTTTTTTTGATATATACTCCCTCCGTTTTTAAAGACTTGCTCCGTTTTTCCACGCGTGGCGTTTTAGAAGAAATTGAAGAAAGTAATATAAGATCATCTCTTATGGTGAGACTCAAGTGAGTATTTTTAGGAGAGAAGAGTATTTTTAGCAATGTATATTAATAAGTTGGTATCTAAACTTAGCAACTCCAAAAGAAAATTGCTAAGTTTAGATACTCAACTTTGAGTCTCATTTGACAAAAAGTGTGGGCCCTTGTCAATATTCTATTATATTTTGTAATTTATTTAAATTTTACCTTTTTTTTAATTATTTTTTAATCTTATAATTATTGATGGGTCATAAATTGAAAGTGACAATTGTATGTTTTAGAGAGTCTCACCATTGAGAATTTAGACTTCATATGAGTTGCTAAATTGAGAAGTGGGTATGGTATCACCATTGGAAGTAAAAAAACAACTCATTTTGTATTTCAATACTCAAACTTGAGTCTCACCATTGGAGATGGTCATGGAGATAGTGAGGTAGGTAGAAGAATAAAAAGTTGTAAAAATCAAAAGTATTAGAGAGAATTGGTGGCGAGAGAATATGAAATTAATAAAATATGATTTATGTTTGATCCACTAGGTGAGAGAAATGAATTAAATACAATAAAAGCTTTCCAAATAAGAAAATGGAGCAAGTATTGAAAAACGACCGAAAAATAAAAGTAGAGCAAGTAATTAAAAACAGAGGGAGTATATTTTTTTAGAAAGACCATTTTGATATTAGCAGGTTTTGTGTGTGTCTACACGGTGCGGCCAACTAACACACAATCCTTGACTTACCTATTATCCCCTGACCAAGTAACCCCTTCGAGCTAGTAACCCCTGATCGACCTAGTAACCCATGATCAAGTAACCCCTGATAGACTAGTAACCCCTGACTTTAGCTAGTAACTCATGACAGACCTAGTAACCCCCTAGCCTAACCACGAATTCCACCGCTAAAGTAGCCACCAAACTACCAATTCCAACCACCACAACAATCAACCATCTCCCCAAGACCAGCTGACAGGCTAAAGTCGTATCACCTAATCAAAAGTAATTCCTAAATCCTCTAACTAATGAAGATAGGGAAGTAGGGTCGAATCCACAGGGAAACTGGTCTTTCTATTCCTAATTAGTTATTATAATCTAAAGTATTAAGTAACCAAATTATTGTAATCGAAGGATAACTAAACTATAAGAGTAAAAGTAGGGAAGAATAAGAATAGTGGAAATCAATGAATAAAAGACCTGGGGCATAGGTTCACCAATAAATAACATTTCAGGGTAAAGCATAATAATCAAACATCAATGCATCAATTAATCAGATCATAAAGGGCTTTCGCTACGTATTACAATCACAGAATTAATCTACCGGTATTAAATCTCATCTCTCGAATCTCGACTTAACCATTTTTAAATTAACCTGCCAATTGAAACTAGACCTAAACATCAATTATCATCTCTTGAATCTCGAATCAATATTGTCAAACTCATGCATAAAAGATCAGGCCTAATCTAGTCACGGAGCATTAAATCAATCAATAGGAAATTAATCAAGCATTGATAATCAACAACAATAATTTACCCCTTCATAGTATTTATGGATCCCCACAAACCCTAGGAAGGAAACTCCTCACACATAATTAAATCTAAACTAATCAAAGCAATAAAATAGGACATGATGAAAGAATTAAAGTAAATAACTGAGATCAAAGTAGAAGAAATCGTAACCAAATAATCTGAATTAAGAGTTGAGTTAAGAACAAAGTTAAGAGAATTTTAAAGAGAGAAAATAATCTAAGTAGAGAGAGAAAGTCTAAGTAAGAAGGTCAACATAAATTAAATCTCAAATCATACTTAAACCTCTCTAAAAACAATCCCAATTCGAAACTAATAACTCGGCAAATCAGGTTCCTCAAAAACACTCGCCCGATCGGGCGTGCCTTGCTTGATGCTCCTGACTGCGCTCCCGCCCGATCGGGCGTAAGCTTGCCCGATCGGGCCCGGTTTCTTCCTCGAGGCTTGGACTTCGATTGGGCTTGATTCTTCGGCCCAATTCGGATTTCCTCTTCGGGTCTTGAATACTTGGTCCAAATGCTCCGGTATCACACACCGAACCCTTAATCACCGGCTCTAACCGGTCCTGGGCTTCAAAGATGGTCGTGTTCTCCTAATGTCCGTAGTTGCTCCATGAAAAACCCGGAAAACGCTCCAAAAGTGCGATTTCCTACAAAACTCAAGCAAAACTACAAAAACACTAGAAAACACCAATTAGTAATAAAAGTGGCTCTAAATAGCCAAAAACACTACTAATTATAACCAAGGGACGGGGGTAAAATACTATACAAATTGGACACATCACCAGCCACGCGCCTCCAACCACCATCACGACCAGTCGCCTGCTTCCAACCACCAACACGACTACCGCATTTCACTAATCGCCACCAATCACACCACAACTCATCACCCGCCGTGATATCACAATTTCATCTTCTTCCTCCTTTTCTTCTGTGACAGTCGTGGCTTCCGCTAATCATCAGCGCCATTTTTCCGACTCCTCAATTGTCGACCAACAACATTCTTATAGGAGATGGAACCCTAAATTTTGACTCCTCAATTCTCGACTCTGCAATTAGTTACTTTCTCGAAAATTAAATTTGATTGAGATTGAAGAAGATGGAACCTCAAAAAGTAGAAAATCTGGAAATTGGTGAATTAATCAAAGGTGATGAATTGAAAATAGAAGAAAAGAGAAGAGGGAAAGAAAGAGAGAAGAGAGAGAACGTGGTGTTGAAAAAAAAAATTGTCGTTGATCGCATGGTATATGACGTATGAAAATTTGTGTTTTAATATATTTAGAAATATCCATAATTAAATTTTTACTCTAAAAACGTGATAAAAGACATGTGTCAACTAGTTTGAAATGGAAAATGTATATGATTCTGTTGTAAAATATATGGTATGGGATAAGTAATCTTAGAACTCATCTTTGGGTAATATTTTGCATTTAAAATTTTGTAGATTGGGTAATGAATATTGATTCAAATGTCCAAAAAATAAGAAGTTTTTAAAATTTTGAAGTAATGATATAATATTTCAAAAATTCGGTTTTGAAAAGTACCGGAAAATTTGAATCGGAGTAATATATTCGTTACTCTTTCTGTCCCCAAATGTTCTTCCCATTTTGACTGTACTCATCTACCAATGCAAAATGTTAGTCATAAATATCATTAGTTGCTTATAGTGAAAAATATAACAATTAAATATTAATAAACTATTCATCAAGACGAATCAAATAACACTCGACATGACTATGTTTTGTCTTACTCGTACATATTAAGAGTAAGATTCTCTTACCCTTTAAAAGTTGTGTTATGATAACAAATGAAAAGAACAAATAGAGACATAGGGTGAATATCCAATCCATGCTCCGTAGACAGATATATATATCTCAAATCAAATTGTTAAAAAGCTATTAAAACCCCTCTTGTGCTTCGATTACAGTATTTTACTGTACATTGAGGGTCACTTTTACCATTTTTTGGGTAACTTTTATAAATAAAGCATAAATAATTCGTAACTTTATTTATGTTAGGGTAATTTTTATTTATATTAGGGTAATTTTTGCCTATTTTAGGATAACTTTATAATACATGTACAATATTTATGGTACTTCCGATTTATTTAAAAGTGTGTGCCTCTTCAATTCCAATCCGTGCTCAGAAGACGGATATATCTCAAATCAAAACCCTCTAGTTTTTTTTCGGTTAACACTATCGTTTTTTATCCGACTTTCTGTAGCCTCTAGATATCATGGCCGAGTCAAACACTATTACATTAGGCATGACTTTCGCGTGAGATCGTGTTAGATTCATTTTAATTTGTATTTTCAAAATATTGATTTTGTAATTTTTTTTTATATGATTAGATCTTTAGAGGTATCTACAATTAAATTTAGAAAAAATAAACTTTAATAATCCCAACAATAGACAATTTACTTTTAATAATCCCTACTAAGGTTGTTATCTAATAATCCAAATTATGGGGTCCGTTTGCTTCCAATGGTTTCAATCACCGGTGATCTGGTGAAAGAGTTTTTTTTTTTTTTTTTGGTCTTTTTGTTTTAATCACCACGTGTCAATACATAACTGGTCACAAATTAAAAAAAAAAAATTTGAAAAAAAAAAATCATCCACCCTTTCCCATCCCTTAACCTTATCGGAATCCTAACCCCCACAACCTAACTTCACCGGCAACCGGCCGACCAACCCCCACAACCACCGAAATTGGCTGGCCGGCCTATGTAACCCATTTTTTTATCCCTGAAACTAACTACCCAGCCCACCCCGACCCCCCAAACCACTAAAAATGGCAGTGAAGCTCCCACCGCAAACGATGAATGCTTAACAACCATTAAGTACGATTTCAGTGCAATTGAATCCACAAAATGAGCCCTAAAATCCGCAACAACGACGATGAATGCCGGAAATCGCAGCAATGGCGGGAGAAAGAGGAAGACTGGAAGAGAGAGAAAATGGAGGAGGGAGAAAATGGAGGCTTTGGGGGTCTAGGTGGGTGATTTCGGCAGTCGAGAATGGGTGGTAGAGGACAACAGACCATTTTCGGTGATAAAAAGCTAGGTTAGCCGGCCGTTTCCCGGCGAGGTTAGGGGGTAAGGTTAAGATTCCGGCGAAGTTACGGCTAGTGTGGTGGAGGAAGTACAGCGTGATGGGCTGCTGCTTGGATTTGAATTGGTGGGAGCAGGGATGGTGATGTTGGTTATTTGGTGTGGTGTAGATTAAGAGTTGGAGTGGTGGAGGTTAAGAGTTGGAGTGGTGGAGGTTAAGGGGGCAGCAGTCAGATTTTTTTTTAAATTTTATTACTAATATTAAAATTTTAGACCAATCAGGTGTTGACACGTGTCATGGTAATCTGTTATAACAGGTCGTGACTTGGTATTGACCGGTTAAGACTATTGGAGGAAAACAAATAACATAATTGGGTTTATTAGATAAATAAACCTTAGTTCGGATTATTAGAAATAAATCGCCCATAATTGGAATTATTAAAGTGTATTTTTCCTTAAATTTATGCACTGAAAATCATGATAAAAAAAACGTGTCAACTATTTCGGAATGGGTGATGTACTCGTATATGATTTGTAAGATATGATATTGGACATAGTAATCTCAAAACTTCAATTTTATTCTTCTTTAAGTGATATTTCGAATTTTAAATTTCGGACATTGGGTAACGGATATTAGATTCAAAAACAAAAATTAATTCGACATTATTTACAAATTAAAAATAATTACGTATAATTTTAGATATTCGGTATTTCCAATCCGAAAAATTATGCTATATCTGAAAGTTTTTGAAACGAATTTAAAAAAAAAGTAGTTATTTAATACGCAATCTATTTCGAATTGAATATCCAATGTGTGTCAATTCTTGGTCGACGGAAATATCTCAAAAAGGCTATTGAAGAATCAACCTAACTCAATTATATCAACATACTTGGCACATAAATGAATTCAAATTGGTAGGCAACGTAGATTATGTTATCCTTGTCACTTTTAACTTTGTTAGTGCGCCTTTGTAGTCTTTTTTCGATTAAGACCCTTGTTCTTTACCCGACTGTCCTTGGCCTCTAGACATCATGGCCGAGTCAAACACTATTCCATTAGGCGCGACAACTGCAGCCACTAGTAGACTATGCTTTACAATCTTGTGCTCATTTGTCGCTCCTATAGTATTTGCGATTGCTGTTTTGTTGTATCAAGCTGACCCATTTGATCCAGCACCATTCCCTGCAGACGAGTCAACCAATAATAAGGTAGCTACTGCAGCAAAAATCAACAGCGGGATGCTTAGGGAGTCGGAGTTTATCGTGTCTGGTCAACTCTTTGGCCCCGAGGATGTGGCTTATGAGCCTAGATCACGGTATATGTATACTGGTTGTGCAGATGGATGGATCAAGCGAATCAATGTTGGTGAATCGGATGTTGACTTAGTGGTTGAGGATTGGGTCAGTACTGGTGGGCGCCCTCTTGGAATTGCTATTGCGAATAATGGAGATCATGTCATTGTTGCTGATGCATACAAGGTACATTACTAACTTATGAGCAGGGCAGACTCCAGTTATACAAGCTCCCTCCCCACCCCCTCCCCCCCTCTCCTAGAGTAACAGTTACCCGGTAAACGAAATTTCTCCGCTTCCCTCTTTTTGCAACCTGTCCCCAGATTCTCTTTCTCCCTCCTTCCATACCCATGATTCCATGAAATTGCATGAATTCATTTTGTTTCCGATCTAATATGTATAATGATTTTTTTTAATTCAATAATTTATTAATTTCAATTTTCATTTATTATCAATTTACCAGAGACCTGGAATCTTGACCCAGACCCGATGGCCCGACTCGAATGACCTGACCCATGACCCGAAATCGACCCGAAATTAGTGACCCGAAATTGTCCCAAAACCCGAATTAACCCGACCCGAAGTGGAACTGACCCGACCTTGACCCAAAACCCGAAATGACCCAACCCGAAACAACCCGACCCGAGATGACCCGACCCAAAGTTGACCCGAGACCCGAAACGACCCGAAGTTGACCCGACCTTTAACTTCTTTTAGTAAATAATTGTATAAGTTATAAAAAAGTTTATGTTAGGAAATTATACATTAAAATAGACCCAACAACATCTTACATGACTACATTGACTTTCATATAATAGCTAAAAAGACGGTCAAAGTGAGATGTGTAAATAGTGCAAAATGTCAAATAGATAAGAGTAATTTGGGACAGAGAAAGTATAAGAATAATTCTAAGAAATTATTACAACAATGACAATGATAATAAGAGTACGTATTAAAACTAAGATCAATAAGAGAGTGAGGTATAACTCAATTAGTTATAGCATCCCTCTTAGTTTCAGGAGATCCCCACACACACATACACAAAAAGTTAATATAAGTCAAACAATTACTATATTCCATGAAAATAATAGCCTTAATAAATATAGTAACTTTTTCGTCAATAAATAAATAAATATATATACAGAGTTGAATTTAACCCAATGATCTGAATCACCCGAATATGACTCGACTCGAAGTTGACCCGATCCGAAGTTAACCTGAAAATTGACCCGACCCGAACTGACCCGACCCGAAAATTGACCCGATACCAGACCCGACCCGATTATCAATCGACCCGAAATCAACCCAAAACCCGAAATGACCCGACCCGACCCGACCCGAACTTGACCCAATAACCTTTTGACTCAAACTTGACCCGACTCGAAATGACCCGACCCATACCCGACTCGAATGACTCATTTGCCAGGTCTAATTTATCTCAATTTTGTCTTTGATTTTCAGTTATAAAAAAAATAAACAATTATTGACTTGATTTTCAATAATCAGTTTATTTCAAAAAAATTTACTTCAATTTTTAACTTGATATCTTCAATATTTTTACTTAAAATGTGGATGAGGACCGAATTAAATTTTGAATTACTTTTCTTTTTATCTTTTTAATTTCCTTTTCTTTTGACTATATTTTTCTGTGAGATTTTTTTTTTTTTTTCCGTTTTTGTTTTTTATATTGTGATTTACTAATTTGTTTGTATTGACTTAATAATATTGTGATAAATTCATGTTTGTAAAACAGATTTTAATTTTAAGATTTTATTGGATTAATCAAATTTAAAAGATTTGTAAGAAAAAAAAAACATTATAATAGAAGGAGAATATGCAGAGCACAGTAGCAGGACAGATTATTACAAAAACATTAATACAGCTAGTGAGTGCTCCTTATAATACCAAACACAAGAATAAGTTCCGCGGGCCCTTGTAAAGTTGCAATGAGTGGTTTGTGCCAAACCTACTATAAATAAGTCCCCTTAACAGTTTCCCTCCATTAATTACTTCCCCCTAACAACTCCCCTCTTAATCATTATCCCCCTAATAACTCCCTTAAATCCAGGCAAGTCCTAAGCAATATGGACATATTGAAGCCAATTTTAAGACCTTATTTAGTTCGCCAAGTTTGAATTACATGTAAGATACAAGTGTAAATTTAAACGAATTCAGATAAGTTCAGATAAATGACAATCACATGAATACACACCTTAAGCTACTTTGAACATTCAGTATGGTATGTTAGCAACAATCTAAGCAAAATTTGGATGACTTGATCCAAATTAATCCAAACCAGGTTGAAACTTGTAAGTTTCAAATTTTCAATCCGGATCAAACTAATTGAAAGTACATTTTCTCATACAACGGTTGTACCACCCATTCACATCCCTTTTACATCTTCTAGAAACTGGGAGGTATATTTGAGAATTGTACGTATAAAAAAAAGTAATGGTTTTATTGTATTTGATTTGAATTGGTTGAAAACCTTTATGGTGTATTTATGATGTGACCTACAATTTCACAGGGCCTGCTGAAAATCACTATGAACAAAGAAATCAGTCTACTAACTAATGAAGCTGAAGGAAAGAAATTCATGTTTACAGATGGTGTCGATATTGCTAGAGATGGTACAATATATTTCACAGATGCTTCGTACAAATACGGGTTCCATAATTACTTGAACGACATCTTAGAATACAGACCGTATGGCAGACTCCTGAGCTATGATAACAATACTAGAGACACAAAAGTTCTACTTGAAGACCTCTACTTCCCCAATGGAGTTACAGTTTCGCCTGATCAGAATTCGCTCATCTTTTGTGAAACGCCTTTGTAAGATTTCAAGTTTTCGGTCTTAGACTACAACTAATCATAGACTGCACTAATCGTTTTCTTTGATAGAAAATTATCATCCAAGTGACCAAGTCATTAAGCATAAGATGTATGATGTTCAACTATCTGGTGTATGTGACACTCAATTCATTCTAAAAATGCAGGAAAAAGTGCAAAACATATTGGATACAAGGTAGCAGGAAGGGAGAAGTTGATGTATTCATCGATAATCTTCCTGGATTTCCAGATAACATCCATAGTGATGGGCAGAACAGATATTGGATCGCGATGTCCTCTGTAAGGCTTTCAAACTTCCTACACTTTTATTGATTATTAAATTGCCTTTACTGAATGGTGTAATTGTCCTGTTTGCTATGATGAATACCAGTGGCTTAATCCGTATTTAGAGCAAGCAAGGCGCTACAGATTTGTACGGAAGTCCCTGTTGATAATAGACAGATACATCAGTATACACCATATACAGAGAAACGGCGGTATTCTTGGTGTAGATTTTGAGGGAAATCCAACAGTGCACGTCTATGATCCAGTTATGTCGCTCATCACAAGCGGGATTAAGATTGAAGATCATCTATATATTGGTTCTCTAAATTATGACCATATTATTCGCTTAAATTTGAGCAGTTTATTGAGTCCACCAATTGAAGGTAACTGAATTTATCATCTCAGCATCTTCCAGACTTTTTAAACATCAACCTGATATTTTTGACAGTGAATCTTCCTGCAATCTTTTATGTAATAACAAGATTTTACAAATCATATTACATATTTCTTGTTTTGCTTCCTTTGGCATTGAACTGTTAGGCATTACTCAAACTATATTATAAAACGATGCTACACAACAGAATAAGGTTGTCATCAATGTAGTATTTTACTCGTTCAAAATTAACTGACACAACAGAATAAGGTTGTCATCAATGTAGTATTTTACTCGTTCAAAATTAACTGTCACGTATAGTATATAGAGATATCTGAATAATGTAACAACCTTTTTTATTACAGTACGATTTTCTTTTATCTTCTACATTATGGGACAAACCTATGTAACAGTCAAACAGATTCTTGTCATATTTACTAATTAAGGCCTATAGCCTATGTGAAATTCTCTGTCTTATGAAAGGCATCCCATAGCCTTGGCCTTTTCTCTAAGAATAAACTTCTGGAACTTACCAGTCGCGGTCTTTGGTATCTCCTCAAAGACAACACACTTAGGAGCCATGTAATGAGGCAAATGATCACGACAAAACTTGATTATTTCCTGCTCAGTAACCTTATAGCCATCCTTCAACTTTACAAACGCGCAAGGTATTTCACCCCAGTGATTATCAGGTCTTGCCACAACAGCAGCCTCAAAAATAGCAGGGTGGCTGTATAGCACAGTCTCTACCTCGACTGTGCTTATATTCTCTCCACCAGAAATGATAATATCCTTCAAGCGATCCTTGATTTCTACGTAATTGTCAGGGTGTTTCACAGCAAGGTCACCAGAATGAAACCAACCTCCTCTGAACGCTTCCTTTGTTGCATTTAAATCCTTCAAGTATCCACTCATCACAGTATTTCCTTTGAACATTATCTCCCCCATTGATTTACCTGTTCAACATTTTGTCAGAAATCCTCTGTTTTTTTTCCCTACAAATTAAGTTATGATAGATATGCTAGATAAAATGAGAGGATGTAAATAACATTACCATCTGCAGGAACACTTTCCATGGTGAGAGGATCTCTGACATCGACATCCTCTAACCCTAGATGTTGTACGCCTTGTCTAGCTTTCATATTTGATTTCTCACCGGGAGGCAAAGAGTCCCATTCAGGTTTCCATACACAATAAGTGCTGGGGCCATACGTTTCGGTGAGCCCATAAAGGTGTCCTACTTCAAATCCTAATTCTTCCATCTTCGAAAATACCTGAGGTGGAGGGGGTGATCCTCCTGTGAGCACTTTTACCTTGTTTGGTAGGGTCTTCCGGTCAAAAGGAAGGGAGTTGACAATCATATTCAAAACAGTAGGAGCTGCACCCATATGAGTCACATTGTGGAGGACAATGTTATCAAATATTGCCTTTGGGGTGACCTTTCGGAGGCAAATGTTCGTGCCCCCTTGAGCTGCCACACCCCAAGGAAGGCACCATCCACTACAATGAAACATGGGGACGGTCCAAAGGTAAGTTGGCATAGGACCCATTTCATGAAGCAAAAATGTGGAGATGGCATTGATGTAAGCTCCACGGTGACTATAAACAACTCCCTTGGGACGAGAGGTGGTGCCAGAGGTGTAGCTGACACTTATTGGGTCCCACTCATCTGTAGGAAGTTGAGGCTGAAATTGATCATCCCCATTGGCTAAGAGATTCTCGTATTCATAATCATACTCAACATTCTCATGTTCATCAGAGTCAGAATCTCTAATGAGGACAAGTAATGGTGGTTTTTCCCCGGTTATAGACATGAGATGGAGAGCTTCTGAAGCAAGGTTAAGTAATTGATAGTCTACAAATAAGACTTTAGCTTGAGAATGAGAAAGGAGGGTGGAAAGCATGGATGAGTCAAGACGGGTATTAAGGGCGCAGAGAGTGGCTCCTGCCATAGGTACTGCAAAATGCAGCTCGTACATAGCAGGCACATTTGGAGCTAGTGCTGCTACCTGCCCACACAATGAAAGAAATCATGAAACTAAATATATCAAAATAGTAATTAGCCATATGTTGTGCAACCTAAGGTACGTTTGTTGTGGGGATTATAGGAAAGGTAAAGGTAATTAAGACGGTGCATATATGATGGGGCAGGCATATGCACAATGTTTACTGTGCTTCCGTTAAGCATCAAGCCTAAAATCAAAGAACATGAAGACAAACTCCATTGAGCATAAACCCTAGTGAGCATAAGAGCTATAACTAAGATGATATTATGTTATATTAGAGTTTATGTACGTTCTCGAGGTTTATGTTCATTGGAGTTTATGTTCTTTTGTTTTAGCCTTCATGCTCTTTGGAGTTTATGTTCTTTTGTTTTAGCCTGCTCTTTGGATTTATGCTTGATGTTCATCGAATGTACAATGTGCATTGTGTATACTCCTCCACACCAAATATTGATTCCCCACCCCTCCACAACAAACTACTTAGGCAGGGAAACTCTTTCTATTTTCTAAAACAAACAGCAGGATCTCTTCCCCTACAAAAATTAAATGCACCCGTAAGAATACTACGAAAGGGTGTGCTTATTTGTCTAGTTTTTAGGAAACTAATAGTAGGGTAATTAAATAGTTCATCATACTCTTGCATACACTTCCTCCCATTCTTTGTCTAAAAGCTTAATTGTCCTTAATAATTTTATTATCTAGTACTCATGTAAAAAGATATGTTGAAAATTAAAGTTTGATGGAATGTTAAGAAACTAATAATGTACTTGCATTTGTTTTTTAAATCAAATGAATGATGCACAAATACAATTAGGAATTGTTGACAGTCTTATATTAAGCACTCAATGTAATTATTAATTTGTCAAAGGTTGTTTAAAAAACTAGACACGATGTTTTAATAATATAAAATCTAGTATTAATCATATAAAATCTAGTATGATCATATGAGAAGTGATATGCTCTTTCAAGTCTATGTCATTACGTTGAAGCTGATAAAGCCAAATAAGAAAAGAAGGCGTTTGGTGGACTTGACAAATCTATATTTAATGGATTTGTACCATAAAGATTAAAGAGTGCGGGAAAATGTAAGGAAATCTCCACTATCACCTTTGGTGTTTCAAGTTATGAGATAGAAACCTTACCCATAAAACAAAATCAAATAAATACAATGTAGGTGACTAGGCTTATAATTAAATATGAGTCCACCATATTCATTTACAGAATTATTGTCGATACAATGCAGTGCTATTATAAAAATATAACTACTTATTGCATCTAAGATCAAAACAATTTGCATTGTGTCTAATTTAGTCTCCGTATTATTTTGGAAACTTATTGAAGTATACTCTAGATCGTAATCACAAATAAACAATAATTAATTTCAAAAAACAGAACATTTCAAAGACTATTGGCTTATTTACGATGCTCTTAATTTTTTTTTGAAGAATTTGTTCATTTTTGTCATTGGAGTTGTAAAAGAATTATATAATCATAATCAATGGAGTACAAGATTTTCACAATTTATACTCTCTCCGTCCCATAATATAGTTTCCGTTTGTGTTTTTTTATGATATTTAAGAAATAGGACAAAAAAGTGAATAAAGTACATTATTAGATAGATAAAAAGAAGTACAATCATAGACAAAAATTAGATAGATTAAAGTGAAAAAAAAAGTACAAGACATGTGTAAAATCAAGGATAAATTAAAAAGTACAATAAATAAATTTAAAAAATTGAGGCTTTACCTAATATCCAATGATAGAAACAACTACAGATAAGAACTATGGGGTTGTTTGGTTACACCAAGAAAATGGGGAAGTGAAAAATCATGGGAATTTGAAAATATATGAGTTGTTTGGTTGACAATAAAAAATATAAATGAAGGAATTGCAAATTCATAGGAATTGTGACTTCCTACAAAATATGAGAAGTTAATTACCTAATCCCCCTATATTAATCAAACTTCCTATGATTTGCAACTTTCCTTATGCCAACCAAACAATTTTATACAATTCCCATAATTTTGATATAAGAATTTAATTCTCATGAAATACAAATTCCAATGGGAAGTAATTTTCCATAGCATCCAAACAATACCTATATTATAATTTTTTTTTTGAGATCATAATACATATCATGCCAACACGTGATATAATTTGTAAAAGCTATGAGCAATCTACACTTGTTTTCCGTATCATTATAGAAAATGCATCCTATCATTACCGATTTGTTGTTACTGAAGAGAACATGGTTTGTTTGAAGTGTTAAACCTTTTCCTCATAAATAAGTTAATGTCCTTTTACACAAAATTTATAAGTTTGAAAGAAACCTTTTTTTTTTTTTTGAAGAGAAGTTTGAAAGAAACTAATGTTAAGATCATAATTTTTTCACCAAACAATAAAGGGAAAAAAAAAAAAGAAAATCATAATCCTTAATTAATCCCTGTAATAGCAAAATGGTAAATAAATAAACAAAATAATTGATAAACGGTTCTAAACAACACCCGTCATAACTGTCCCTCAAAACCATATGGAAAACCTTATAAAGTGGACACCCGCCCAGATCATAACACAATCCAACCTGGCTCGAATATCATGATAAACTGGTCCATGCCACAGACATCATAACTGTACATTTTATACGGCCAAAGAGGTTTCACTACAAAACCATAGGACAATGAGGAGAGTAGCCCCTTAGCCATATAAAATAGACACAACTTTCTTGTTTCTTCAATATAAAATACACATATCCCAATACAATTTTTTCCTTATACACTCAACTAATGTGAGACAACACACTCACATGTGGGTTTTCTTAAGGGCTCAATAAAACATTGTAATTTTGTAATTGTATCTACAGTTGTAGAGCTTATATTTAATGAAAGTTGATGATTTATTGATAATTTTGTCACGTGATAAATAAAATTTGTCTATCAGGTCAAGGTGAATGATAAAATTGTATTTTCTTGAATATCACATAAATAATCAAACCAACTCAGATGAATTAGAAAAACATACTATATGGCCGGGTGAAATGCGAAGGATGGTAGTGAGAGTGGAAGCAAGTTTGCCGCATCGTTGACGAGTCTCGCTCCAAGTGTACCGCAAACAACCGTACACGACGGAAATCCGGTGAGGAAACACCTTGGCGGAGCGTTCGAGGAAGGTGATCGGAGTCAAAGGAGTATAATTCGCCGGACATCTCATCAGACCATCCAACTTTTGCCATGACGCACCACCTCCGCCTTCCTCTCCGCCGCCACTTCCACCGCTACTGGTTGTGCTAAAGTTGGCTGATTTTTGAGCACGTACACATAAAAACTTAGGCTTAAATCTAGACTTGAATAAGTGGTTTAAGAACTGATTTTTCATTGAAATTGAAGTATTAAAGATTTTATCCAAAGAACAAAGGAAGGTGGGTTACAGAAATAGTGGAACTAAGATGCAACCAAATGCGTGGACTTCGACTCGTTGATATTTAATAGTTCCTCCGTGTTTTAATATGTTTAACATTTTGACTGGGAAAATTTAAGATGAATAATCCAACCTTTCCCTTCTTCCAAATAATCCAACCTTTAAATTAACTTGAATAATCCTACTTTTACCTATTATTCTCCTCCACCGCCACCAGCAGGTCACCTTACCCTCTATGACCGGTTGTCACCTTATCCTCTATGACCGGTTGCCAAGCCACGTGGTAGCTTTGGTTTGACCTTTTTTTATAATTTAAAACTTAATTTTTTTAACAAAAATCATAAAAAATTAAAAAAAAATTAAAAAAAAAATCCCAAAAAAATGAAAAAAGTAATAAATTAACCCCACCATGGACTTCCCACCATCAACCCCACTGTCAACCCACCATCATCCGCACCGCCGCAGCCCCACAACACCACCACAACCCACCGTCGATGAAACCACCAACCCACCTCCGTACCACCATCAACCAACCCAAAACCCCCCACCGTGCTACCTTCTGTCTTCCCGTGACGAAAATCAACCAACCCACAAACCTCCACTTCCCACCATCCCACCTCCGCACCACCATCAACCAACCCACAAACCCCCACCGCTACACCAAAACCCATAGAAAACACCCCCTCTTGCCTATACTTCCAAAGCCTCCTTTTTTCCCATTTTCCTTCTCTCTCCTTTCGTGGTGGTGATTGTGGTTTTAATGATGAAGGAAGGATAGATGAATTGAAGGAGGTGCTGCTGGGACGAAAATAGAGGTGGGTAGGGATTTCGACCGATTTCATGGTGGTGATTGTGGTTCGTGGTGATGGAGAAAGGATGAAGGAGGTGGTAATAAAGGTTGTGTTCATGGAGAAAGGAGGAAGAAAGGTGTTCATGGAGGGGAAAGAGAGGTGGTCATGGAGGAACAAAGAGAAAGAAGTGGTCATGGAGGAAAAAAAAGGGAAAAAAAAATAAACTACCTAATCTTCAGGTATCCGGTCACTTAGCTTAGGCTCGATATGGGAGAATATGTATCAAAGATGGGATTATTTAGGGTTAATTCAAAGGCTGAATTATTTTGGGAGAACCAGTGAAAGGTTGGATTATTGATGTTAAATTTTCCTTTTGACTATTATATAGTTTTAGTCAATTTAATTAACTTAAATAAAATATGGAATAACTAGGGTTGTTGAAGTATTATAATTTTATAAAATAAAGATAATGTGGTTTAGAGCTTGTTCACATTTACTTAATTTCAGTTCTATTCAATTTAGCTCCAATTAATTCAGTTCAGTTCAGCTCTAAACAGTTCAGTTCAGTTCAGCTCCTAATTTCTTTCTCTCATTAAAAATATTCATTTCAGCTCAATTCAGTTCAATTTAGTATAACTCCAATCAGTCAAGTTCAATTCAGTTCAACTCAGCTCAGTAAATGTGAACATGCCCTAATAGTTTATTAAAAGGTAATTAATATGAGATGAAAGAAATAATAAAAAATAATTTATAAAATTAATAATGGGTTAATAATTTATTTTTTAAAACAAACAGAGCAGAAATTGTTATTGAATCAAAATCTTCCAAAGTAATTAAACTTTGGGAGAACAAGTCCAAACAAACTAGTTCATCATTACCCTTCGTGTCCCACCGAGCTAGTAAGTTTTTTTTAACACATAAAAGACGATAACATTAATTAATTAGAGTTTTACACATAAAGCACACAACCTCATTCCGCTTTGCAAAATGTGAGGTTGTAAAATAGCTAAACACAGAAGACCTTATACTAAGAGAAAATGTAAAGGCCTTAGTTCCTAAACATACAATGCCCCTTCGAAACCTAGAAAAGCTAAGAGTTAAACAAACAGATAGACTAGTACTAAAGTAAACAAGAAGATACTGATTATTCCCCATCAGAATCCTCATGAGCATTCAGAGCAGCCACAGCAACAAGCTCTTTGTTGAAGATTGGCAGAACAGCTTCAGGGCAAGTAAGATGCAGACAATGTCCTACGCTCATAGTTAATCCTATCTGAGCCAATTCATGGGCAATGGCATTGTTGTTCCTTTTCACATGTAGGATTTCAAACGTATCAAAAAACTTTATATCTTCTTCAATATCCTTCACTACCACAGCTAACTCATGATGAAGAGTGTTGCCTGCAGACTTGAGCATGATCCCTAGAGATAAGGCATCTATCTCCAATTCCACATCCTTAGCTTTAAGCGTTTTAATCATTGCAACACCCTCTCTAACAGCAAGCAATTCAGTTGCAAAGGCTGAGATTGCATTATATTTGCTTGAAAAGCCCATGATCCAAGTACCATCATCTCGTCTTACAACTCCCCCTCCAGCAGCTACATTAATAGCAGTCCATGCTCCATCAGTGTTGAGTTTTACCCAGCCCTTTGGGGGTGGATTCCAAGCATTTTGGGCATGAGAACTACTTGAGGCATCAGAAACCTGTGCTTTACCCTGCATGATATGGTTAGTACATTGATAATCCAAGATGAACCTACTAAAAGCAATTCGAGAGTTATACATCTTAAGCTCAAACACAGTTACATTTCATTGTTTCCATATGTGCCAAATAGCAATTGTGAAGGTCATTTTCCAGTGACTATCAAAGGCTAAATTAAAATTAATCCACTCATACCAATTCATAGCAAAGAAATTATGAAAGCTAAAATTCGCAGGCAAATGAACCTTTGCAAAAATATCCTTCCATAAAATAGCCGAGGAAAAGCAATCACGAAACAAGTGCAAATGCGACTCAGAGTACATATTACATCTAACACAAATAGGAGAAATAAATGGCATAAAAGTTGACAATTTTTCAGCCACAGGGAGGATAGAGTGAACCACATTCCATAGAAGCATTTTGTACTTTGAGGGCACGGTCACTTTCCAAATTGATTTGCATGAAGAAAAGTAATGAAAAGGATGATAAGAAGGGGAAATAAGAGCTTGGTAAGGAGATTTTATGGTAAACTCACCCGATTTGGATAAGGTCCAATTAATGAAGTCATCAAAATTGGACACTTTAGAAATAGGAGTTGCTAAAATTTCTGAAATCAAGCCTTCAGATAACAGGTGCTTGACTTCATCCAAGTACCAAACCCCATCCTTTATAATATTCCTTACAAACCAATGGGCCATATGAGGGGGATTGTCATGAGCAATTTGAAGATAAATAGGGGCCTTACCCACCCAGTGATGATACCAAAGAGAAGTGGTTGCACCATTTCCTATGCCAATTTTCAAGCCCGAGGCCAAAAGATGCCTACCATTAAGAAGATCTCTCCAAATCGGTGAGTGAGAAGATTTTGGAACACAATCAAAAAGAGCAGAATTTTTCAAATATTTTTCATTAAAAATTCTCACCCAAAGTTTGGAGGGATTATTTAAGAGAATCCAACCTAATTTAGCCATAAAACACATATTCCATTCTCTCAATCTTCTAATTCCCAAACCACCCGCAGCTAGAGGCATAGTAACGTATTTCCAAGCAAGCCTAGGACTGTAATGAATGTTATCCACCTTATTCCATAAAAACTTCCTACACCTTTGCTCCAATTTATCAAGCACTGTAACAGGGATGAGATTAGTTTGCATGTGATAAACTGGGTAGGAGTTTAAAACCGATTTGATCAAAGTGCATCTTCCAGCAAGATTCAAAAGCTTAGCCTGCCATCCTCTGATCCTATCCATGGTTTTGTCAAGAAGACCAAAGTAGTGAGAAAGTTTAAGCCTATTTGGACTGATTTCAAACCCTAAGTATTTCCCAAAAGAAATAGCACATTTAAAACCAAAAAAATGGGCAGTGTCAGACCGGATAAAATGATTCATTTTAGGGGGAAAGATCATTGAAGATTTGGTTTGATTTAACCTTAGACCCGACATATCACCAAAAGAATTTAAAACATTCAACATCCCACTAATATTTTCTTTAGAAGAATTTCCAAAAAGGAAAACATCATCCGCATAAAAAATATGTGACATGTGAATTGAAGGAGTGAGTCTAATAGGTTTCCATAAGCCTATACTAACATGATGATCAATCATAATAGATAATCTCTCCAAGCATAGCACAAAGATGAAGGATGAAAGTGGATCCCCTTGCCTGATACCCCGAGATGGAGAAAAAGAATTGCAAATTTCACCATTCCATAAAACTGAAATACTAGGTGAACAAATGCAATTTAAAATAAGCTTGGATAAATTCTCGGGAAAGCCAAAAAAATTCAAAGTATTTTCAATAAAAGACCACTCCAAGCTATCATAAGCCTTAGTAAGATCAAGTTTTAAAGCACAAATATTTTTTCCTTTTTTTGCCTTACTGAAAACGTGAGCAATTTCTTTGACTACTATAATTTTATCCTCAATGCCTCTACCGGGAATGAAACTAGATTGGAGGGGATTAATGAGTTTGGAAAGAAAAGGTTTTATTCTATCAGAGATCAATTTGGTAATCAATTTATAACTAGTATTGCATAGTCCTATAGGTCTAAATTCCGAAATTTTGGAAGGATTTTCGATCTTGGGAATAAGAGCAATGTAGGACTTGTTAACACTAGCAGGAACCTCACAAGAGTGGAAACAGTTAAGCACAAAATTATAAATTGAAGTACCAAGATTAGACCAAAAATGTTGCAAAAAACGTGGCTGGATACCATCTGGACCTGGACACTTCATTGGATTCATCCGGAATAAACATTCCTTAACCTCATTCAAGCAAGGGATACGAGACATAGCATTTCGATTTTGATCAGAAAGGATAAAATTTGGAGTTAGATTATTCTGTGAAGAAAAATTAGCATGCAACTTTGATGTAAAGATGTCTATGAAATAGTCAGTAGCTAAAACTTTTAGCTTATCACAATCCTGAATCCAAACATCATTATTATCCTTAAGTGCTAAAATCTTTCCTTGACTCTTCCCAATCTTGGCTAAAATGTGGAAATATTTAGTATTATGATCACTATTTGCGCCAATTAATCCCGGCTTTTTGCGCCCAAATAATCCTTTCTTTTTTTATGTATATCCTCAAGATCTTTAAGCAGATTTTTTTCAAGGGCAATTAAAAAATTTGAATCATTATGTGATAAATACAATTGGATACCATCTAACCGAGATAAAATTTTCTTTTTTTTTTTAAATTACCAAAAACATTCGAATCCCAGAATTTTATATTCTTCCTAAAATTATCCAAGCCAACTAAAAAATTATCATTCGATTGAGACCAATTATTAACAAAGAAAGTAGCAAAGTCTGGATGTTCAATCCAAACCTCCTTACATCTTAGGGGAAAAGGACCCTTCATACTAGGATTAGACATATCAATTAATAGAGGGCAATGATCTGAGTAATTAGTATGAGTGAGATGCAAAACCTTAGTGTGAGGGAAGCAATCAAGCCATGACAAATTTGGGAGAGCTCGATCCAAACGTTGACGAATAAGAGCACCGTCCTTTCTTGTGTTAGTCCAGGTGAATGGCGTCCCATGGAACCCTATATCAACGACACCCGCCTTATCCATAAATTCCTTGAAGTCTTTGCATTAACTATACATGAAGGGCCGGCCTCCAAATTTTTCAGATTGTTTAGTGACTTCATTAAGATCTCCAAGAACCAACCACGGCATATCACTAGGAGGGATAGATTGTTTAAGTCTCTGCCAGTCCAAGTGCCTTTCCTTAGGCACGCTTGAGGCATGCATGCCAGTAAGCATGACCTCAGGAGTATTGTTACTAAAATGAAACAAACCGTGAAAAAGATTGCCTTGATCTGAAAATTTCAGTAAATCCACTCCAGTTTTCCAAAATATCCAAACTCCCTCCCTTCTTCCATTTGGTTCAATGACTTTAAAATCATTAAAACCCAATTGTAAAACTACTTGTCTTGCACGTTGAGACTTAGCTTTGGTTTCCAGAAAAACGAAAATATTAGGATGATGGGAATCAACGATATCCTTTGCATGAGTAACAAATTCCTCATTATTTGCACCCCGAACATTCCAAATAATGATTTTCATATTTAACGCGGGAACAGAACGTTGCAGGGTTGTGTAAGACGAGTCACCCGGGTGAGTTCGAATTGGGAGGGGATGAAAGTAACTCTCCCAATCCATCCAAAACTCTAGCGCCTGCATCGGACCCACATCCTCCAACTTGATCGGAGTCATTAACAGGGGAATCTCCGGACAGCCATTCGGACGAGAGTGGTAGCTCACTTGAATTTGTACTCCCACCACTTCCTCCTTTGTTACGAACATAGCTATACGGCGATTTGGAATTTCGATGTTGTAACCTCGAGTGACGAACACCAAGGGCACGACCTCCATTCTTTTTGGTAATGGCAACCCCTCGTGCATTGCAAGTCGGGGTGGAGGTTGGATCATTCGTTCCTCCCTCCTCCGAAGGGAGTCCATCAATCTCAATGCACCCTCCATTTCCGTCGGGGGGGGGGGGGGGGGGGGACGGATAACGGCAAACAGATGGCTGCGGAGGAATTGAATCCATTACTCTCGAATCGGGAAATAGATTCAAGAGTTGCTTCGGACCCTGAGATTGTCGACGTGCATAATTCATTAGTTCCGGTCCTATTGCTCCAAACATGGGAAGACCTAGGGTCACCCTCTCCATTAGGGATGAACTTGGGGGGGGGGGGTGATTTCCATTCCTGATAATTCTTGATTGGTATGACATTCCTTACTTCCCACGGTTTGAGGATTGGAGGAGGGGAAGGAGGTGAGTTGTGTTTGTGACTCTTTGGGGGATTGGTTTTGTTTTGATCCATTTTGATTCTCTGTAGCATGCAAAGAAGAGGGAATTTCTGTGAAAATGACATGAGCTTTCTCAGGGGAATTAGAAGATATTTGTAGAGGAGATAAATGAGAATCATGCAAATGCACAGGAGAAAGAGAGGAGTCATCACACACCATAGAGGACACATGTTGAGTACCTTCCTTTGAATGTTGACAATTAAGAGATTGAGAAGTTAAGAGATTTTTTTTCTGCAAAATCAAATTATCAGAAGAAACCTTTTGCTTCTGCATGGATACCGAGGGGAAGTTTAAAGGTTTGTTTTGGGAAAAAGCTCCAGAAGCTTTCTTTTGCCATTTAGAAGTTGATTGGCTTCTTTTTGCTCAATACGATTCGTTTTGGTGGAAATAACCTTAGAAGAAGTCACATTGGAAATCACTATGTTTTTTCTCGGTTTCCTTCTATTAGTAACCATAGTCCATGGACCATATGAATCTTCTGAACTATTATCCATCTCAAGTTGTAAACCTTGGGCCGACCCAATAACGATACCATTGGAGTCCTGTACTTTAGAAGATTGACCCAATTCAGAAAAACCTGCAAGCGGTCCAACTCTGTCACTACCATCTGTCAAACCAAAAGATGACTTATGTGAACATTCCCCCACATTAGACAGAGAATGCTGTTGCTTGCCCCTGTTGCCACCTCCATGAATGCATTGCGCAATCTCATGACCGAACCATACTTTCGTAATTAGGGGCAAATTGAGATCAATTTCAACACAAACACGGGCATATCTCCCTCTAGTAATACGATCCGTCGAATAATCCACCCGAATTGGCTTTGCTACTACACGCGCAATCTCAAACAGAGCTGATTTTTCATAGTATTCAACTGGCAACTCCGGAAAACGAATCCAAACAGCCATTGTCTCAAATTGAGATTGATGAGGGCGAAAATTTGGTCTCCATTGAGTAATCATCAAGTAGTGATCAAAGATAAACCATGGACCACCAAATAAAGCCCGCTCATAATCGTCTTGTAGGGAAAATCTAAACAAAAAGATGCTTTTACCCAAATCAATTGTTTCCAAATTACCCCGGATTTTCCACATGATTTGAGCCCTTTTCGCCATGAACTCCTGACGAACAGAAATACCCACAACCTTGCCCATGAGAGTCATTGACCATGGTTGCCTCAATTTAGACAAAGTTTCCTTACTAAATTGCACTGCTAAATTGCCATCAGGAGCAATATCCTCTGAATCATCCCATTCTTTCGCTGCAAATACAATTTTACGGGCTTGGTCAAACCACTCCGAGAAAGTAGCTACCACCTCCCTAAAGCTTAAAGGAGAGCTAGAATTATCATTTGAGTGAATAGATGTACTAGCCAAAGGGACTGTGACAGAAGCGGAAGGAGGATTCCCCTCCATTGGAGGGGAAGAAGAACAAAATAACACTCTGAAAACAGAACAATTCTATCACTTTCTCTCTCTAACACTTTCCCACCGAGCTACTAAGTGAGTTATTGTATTCTCGCGCACTAGAGTTAATAGTTTATATATTAAAGAAATTATAAAAAATAAAAAGTAGTAGTGGAATTAGGACTATGAAAGGAGAGGGATACTCCTTGCGTTTTTATATACTTACCCATCTAGTCATTTCAGACTGTTTTTAAATGCTTTCTCTATTTCCTTATTTTGAATACTTTTATAATATTTAATTTATTTCTTTCAACTACTAGACTCAACATCAATCATATTTTATTGATTTTATATTGTCTATTCTCCAATTCTGTCCACTACTTTTACTTTTTATAATTTTTTATTCTTCTCCCTACCCCACTACCTCCGTATATTTAGTTTCTCCAATTTCTCCTATAACTCCACGCATAGAGAAATAGGACAAGTATTTAAAAACGGATGGAGTATAATATTAAAATTTAGATTTTTGCCACAAAAAAAGTGTAACAATTATTAAAACAAGGCTACATTTGGTAAATATCACACTTATTAGAACACAAAGAAAGTATACTACATCTTTTTGTAACACAAAAAATTCAAATCACACACTTTTTTTATTTTTTTTTTATTTACTGTGCTCGATAATGACATGACACGCACGTATGTCAATGCAAAATGTTTAACGGATTTTTCACCAAATGTCCCTGTGTTACTTTTTTATTCACCATTTCCCCCCAATAATTTTCAAATTCACAATATACCCACGAGTTCTACAAAAATGTCACCAAATGCCCTTAATGACTAACGGTGGTCAACTCCGGTGGTCAACTCCGTTAATCATTAGAGCTAATTATGGGAAAATTATTAATGAGAGTTTGACACATAAGACACTTTAAGGGATTAATGACAATAACATGTTTTGTTTTAGTAATAGTTCTCTTTGTTCTCATGGCCCTTACCCAAATCCATCAATAACTCTTTATTTTGTTTTTCCTCTCAGACTCATTAATTGTCAAAAAACTATCAACTCCACTTATTTATTATTATTTTTTTTTTTAGTTTTTGGTACTTTAATTATCCCATTTACCTCTTATATTATTTAAATCAATTAAATTGCCTAAAAATATATACTAGTCAAAATATAACACTTAAAAAAACACGTAGGGAGATTCATTTGGCATTGTTGTGGTTTTCTGTTTTTTGGTTTTTTGTTGCATAAAAGTATATCATATATGTCACATAATGAATTAAAAATTATTTAAACTTATTAAAATCATAATAATTTTAAAAACTGACAATAAAAAAGTGAAAACACCTTTTTCTTGTTTTATGTTTTTGGTTTTTGGTTTTTAGTTTTAAAAAATATAGGAAACCAAAAATAAAAAATGATGTCAAAGAAGCCCTTATTGAATTTATCAAAATGTATATTATTGTAATATAAACTTTTAATTTACATTTATGTTGATAAACATTTTGATTCTCTTATAAAAAATGATACCTCCGTTAACTATTATTTGCAACAAAAGGGTATTATTTGTGAGATATAAAATATTCCTTTGTTGCAAATAATAATTAACGGAGGTAGTAGTTAAAATGTTATCAAAGTTAATATGTGAATAGTGTACACATATTATCAAATTCAAACTATTATGGAATTCTAAAAGCATGGGAAATTGGGAAGTACAAGTGTTGGTCTGTTATGGGTCTCACTTCCACACATATTAATGCATACTATGTTCCATTATGTATAGGGACGTCAACTAGACAGAGCGGGTTTTGGTCATCTCATCCCATGCCATCTTTACCTCATATTTTCATCCTCATCCTCATCCTCATCCCCACAGGTCTGAAATTTATCCCCTTCCTCACCCTATCACCCTCTTAATAAAACATCATGTAAGAGTCGTTTGAAGTGCGCTTAAGTTAAAACATGTATGAGTATGTTTGACACATAAGAAGTGGAAATTGACATAATATGATTAGGGACAAGGAAAGTAGGGAGCCATCAACAAGTATTTAAGGAACTTGTAAACCGTTCACGGATCATAAAAGGCAACCACGATAAAGGGACAACGAAAGGCAACAACGACTAACGGTGAAGCTTACACCTCATTCATAATCCATGAGATTACTAACTCCATATGGTTCGGAACCACGAAAGGAGGATCGGAGATGATGGTACGAAGTGAGTCATGGAGTCACATTCGCCCGTATTGGCCTCTACTCGATTCTTATAGTGAAAAGTGATTTCTGCGATCTCAAAGGCATGCAAATAAAATATGCAATTTACTCAAATCTATTATTATGCTAAATTGGTTGAATATTAATGAAACACATAATTCTAAAATATCGTGATCACTTATTTAAACAATAAGATTAAAAAGGAACCTAAACGGTCGTCCAAGTTATCTTATTAGTCGTGAATTTCAATTACATATTACCTTTAACCATGCAATATGTTGATCATAAATAATAATAGAATCAACATTAATATTGGAAGCAATTCAACAATAAATTGTTAGTCAAATAAAATAATAATAAACCTAATCATGATACTAACAATATAAAAATAAAATAAGTAATTAAATTAAATAATTACTCACATTAAGCGCGTTCCTTAAAATTGATACATCATGAATAAATTGTTAGTAACTTCAATAAAAATATAAATGAAATTGAAACAATTAAAATAAATAAAAAGTAGAGTTGATTTGGTCCAAACCCTCAGTCAATTATACCTTTCTGCCTTGGTTTAAGGACGGAATCTCGGGTTAAGTATGGATTCCTTGGAGTGCTTAATGAAGAAATGATGTAATTAGAAATATAGGTTTAAGGCTTAGATTATGAGAGAGAGAAGAGAATAATTTCTGGTGTAGAAGAGAGGAGAAAAGAATCATTTGGTGCCTCGAACTGTAGTAAGGAGGGGGGTATTTATCGGAAAAGAGTAGAGGGAACACATGGAACCCTAAAAAGATAAAACCCTAAAATAAATGTCGCGACAAGTCAGCATGTTTCCGCGACACGACAAAATATGCCGTGACACGGTATAATTTGGCATGACGCGGGAAAGAAACATACCTAAAAAATAAAACGCGTGAAGTCTGACACACGGAGAAAACACGAGATCATCCCGTGACACGGAACATGTACCGTGACACGGCACAGGAAATCGCGACGCAACATTGTCAACCGTGGCACAGTATAGTACACCGTGTCACGGTAAGACAACGCGTGAGAAAAAAGCAAAAATGACACGAAAAAAGCACCTAACGGTACACATACCGTGACACGGTACTAGCTGCTGTGCCACGTCAGATATTGCTGCCGCGCGGTAATTTCTGTTTTTACACATTTTTAAACTACGATAACTTTTGATTCGTAACTCGTAATAAGGCATATAATATGGGAAAAATTGCTCAGAACAATCCCACCTTTGCCTTATCCGCCCAAAATAATCCCACCTTTCGATTATTTTTTAATAATCCGACCTTTATACCCTATCCGCTCCCAATAGTCCCAAGCGACTTGAAACCGGCTAAACAAGTTACCATAGGTGACTTGGAACTATTTGCACATGTATCACCACTCAAATACTCAATTAGTCTAAAATATATATATATAAAATAATAATAATTAAAAAAATCATTGAATTTTTTTTTTAAAAAAAAAAAACCCAACGACCACCTTCTCTCCAGCACACCCACCACCGAAACCATCTCCCCTACCCAGCCCACCCACCGAAACCACCTCCTCTACCCAGCCCACCATCAAAATTGTCCCTTTCCCTTAGTAATGGTAGTTGTGAGGGGTTTGATATTCAATTTTGGGGCTGATTTGTGGGCGTCGAAAGCGGCTGCTCTAGTGAAGTCCACCAGCGGTTGTTGGTCTGTGGTAGGTGGCGACTCACTGTGGTGGAGGGTTCGTTTGGTGTTTGCTGCGGGGAGAGTGTGGCTTGGGTGGTGGGTTTGCGAAGGAGTAGCAGTAGCGATGCTTTGGTGGTTTGCGAGCTGGTTGCTTTGGTAGTTTGCAGGCTTGGGATATTTTGATTTTTTTTCTGTTTTTTTAATAATTTTTTTTAAAATAATTTTTATTTTTATTTTTTTGACCAATCCTAGACTGACACGTGTCTAGTAACTTGTAATAACAAGCTAGATGACTGGTTGGGACCATTTAAAGCGAAAGAGGTATAAAGGTCGGATTATTAAAAAATAATCGATAGGTGGGATTATTTTGGGCGGATGAGACAAAGGTTGGATTATTTAGGGCAATTTTTCCTATAATATATCATTGGAAAGCTTATCATGTCTACTTTCGAACCCAATTAGAATCAGGTCAAAATCATTTGTAGACTTTAAGATATGGTTGTTTTAGTTAAAGGGTGTTGGTTTAGGGCCGAGTTTAGTATTTTGCTCATATCTTCTTCGTTTTACATCGGAATTGGGCTTATGATATATTGTTGGAAAACTTATTTCAAGACCTATCCAACCAAATAATTATTGGATCAAAATTATAGGGCCACAAAATTAGTTTCTCTTTATTTTTTGATGTGGATATAGAAAGTGGAAAGTAAGTTATGGTTTAAGGAAATGAGCTATGAATTGGATTGTTTTATGAAATGTATTGAATAGAAACATGGATTTAAGCACTATAAAGATTAAATACTCAACCCGACCAATAATGGCGATGAAAGGTTTTTCATCATCGGGTTTGGTTTTGGGGAGACATTTTTTGGTGTCTACACATCCCTACCCTACCCCCCACACGTGAATATCCATCGCTGCTTCAGCCCCACCTTCCCGGCCCTATCACCCACCTTGTCTCCACCATTGACACACCACAAATAATACAATTCTATTGTAAATTTATAATTGTACACACCTAATATAATGAAGCAAAATAAAAAAAAAAAAAGCATTACTCCCTCCGTTCTCTTTTGTTTTTTACGTTTCCATTTAGGGTGTTCCTTTTTA